TTTCTACTGCTCAAAAAGGATTTCGGTGAGACATGCAACATCAGCCAAAAGGCAAATGACATCAGACAAGAGAGTGGAGAGTGGAGCATGGAGCATGGAGCATGGAGCATGGAGAGCCGAGCCACACACAAAGGATTGTTATTGCTGTTGTGCTCTGGGAATTGGATAAAAAGTGTCTGCGAAAGAGAGCGAGGGCAGCGGCAGAGCGAAGAGAACGCGAACGCGAACCCGAACACGAACGCGAACGCGAATGAGAACAAGAGAAATGACGCAATCGCCAGCTGTTTGGCAAAGTCAACAGAACAGTGTTGGATTGTTGTAGAGGGGGCTATGAAGTACGAGACGAAAGACACGGGGGGGAGGTGCGGCAGGGCAGGGCAGGGCAGGGCAGCATCTAAAAATGTGCCCCAAAACTTACCACAATCCGCATGGCAAAAGCTCCAGAGAAAAGATACAGCCCGCGAGATATCAATATACAAAAATCCACGCACGCACATCTATACATATATAGTATGTATATAACATATATACCTACATATGTATATTTGCTCAATTGGAATACAAAAATTTGTTCTTTATTTTTAATCTTTGAGTGTTTTTTTTTGTTTTTTGTTATTCTTGATATTTTTTGGGCGTTCCATTTGGAATTATAACAAATACCAGGCAATTGCACAAAAATATCGTCATAAATCTCATCAAATAAGAGAAAGGTAGGGGATGGAGCGGCGGAAAGCGCGAAAGATATCGATGATATCATTTTTCCATGCTCGGGGGCACCGTAAACGAAAAGGACAAGAAATACCCCATGGAGGGAAGGTGACATCAATATTATCAATATATTCAGTTTCGGGATCAAACTTGGAACGTTGAATGGAACGTTTCTCCGGTTCTTCAGTTCAAGACAAATTTAAGTGTTTTTTCGCAAGGTAAATCAATCGGGCCATCAATCAAAATAACGTATGTAAATATATATATACATATGTATGTACCCCTCTGTCGGTATATTTATGCGAAGGCTTCCATTTAAAAGTTTGCCATTTTCACGTTTTACAATAATTTTACGATAAACGAAAAATGCATCTTTCTCTTTTAATGATTTGTCGATAGAAAATTGAATTTATTTTATTTCTTTTTATTTCGATCAAAAAGAGGAAAAGAATTCAGAAAACTGATGGGAGGGAGAATGGGGAGATCTGGCGAAGCATGACCAAAGTGAGTGTCCCCGCGAGTGATTCACCGCACCCACACCCCTCTGTTGTAGGGTCAGCTGCTTGAATAACGAACTGTTTTAATTATGCTCGACATTCTTCATTGTTTGCCATATAAATTAGGGTGTATAGATGTGGGGGGGGGGGGGGGGGGGCCTGGATTGAACTTCCTTTCAATGTGGCCCGTACTTGAGTTTCAAGTTCTTTTTTTATCGCTTTCAATTGGAGGTTCTCTCGCTGAAAATGATCCATATAAATGAAGGTTCGATGGGGTGGGAGGTGGGACGATATGAAACATACATGTATGTATGTAAATACGTGCCCATGCACATACATATGTACATATATGTGTATACTAGGAGTCAAAAAATCAAGCCAATTAAATTCTTCTGAAGTATGCACTTACATACATACATACATATGTATGTACGTATACTATACATATGTAAGTATGAAATATTGGATTCAATAATACTATAGTATAACACCATCAGGGTCCTCTAATATAATTACACTTAGAGAAACCTTCGCGATATACATATCAACAAGACTCAGCTTAGCATACAGTGGAACTTCGGTGACGCGAACCGCAGTATATAAATGTCCATAAAACCAATAACACCTGCCTGAAATGCCACCAACAACTCCGCTGTATGGAAAAAAAAAGCTACAGCAACCGTTTTTTAGACTGGTAGGCTTAAAAGAGGTCTTTGAGCGGGCCAGACGGGAATAATAGATCTCCATCCAAATTACCAAAATCCTTTAGCTTAATAAATGTATTGAGTGTCTAATGCAAGCTTGAGTTCTTTTGTCTGTCTCTCGCCGCTTTTCCTACTGTATGAGTGTTCTCTCTCGCGCTCTCTCTCTCTCTTGGGAGAGGGCTTTTACGTATATGACTAGCTTAGCAGAAGCTACGGAATGTTTCTCAAGATCATTTTGGCTGCGCCTCTCTTTCTGTCTCTCCCTCTCTGAGCACACACTGTGCTCCCACACCACACTTCCCCGCGGGGCAGGCAGCAAGGGCATTCATTAACCCAACCATCCAACTGGCAACTGGTAGGGTAATTTTTTAGGTCGGATCGGGGCGGAGGAATTTGGCTGTCAACTGCGATGTTGACGTCGACGTTTCTTCTGGGGCGTAGCGGGTGCGCAGTATAGCCAATGATGACGTCTGCCAGCGATGACCGCATGGGCGGTGTTGCCACAGAAGCACGCACAAAAGAATAGATTTTATTATAGCAGTTTTCAGATTTATTCTCTTTTCATTAATATATGGAGAAATATATAAAAATATAAAAATACGGAGAGAGAGATACACATGTATCTCTGCTGGCTGCGTGGAGATGATCATTACTGTGATGATGATGGCAACATTGATGTCAGCATCTGCCCCACCTTAGTGGACGCTCTCACACACACACACACACACACACAGACACACACACCAGTGCGCAACTTTAATTCGCGCTCATTGTCTGCCGTTTTGTATTCTCCTTCTCTTGTCCCATTCAACATCTCTTTCTAGCTAGCAAAACCTGTTTTATGTGTGTTTGAGCTCAATCGCAAGTCTCACTCAACTTGGATAATTTTTGGGTTTTCAATTAAGTTGTACGTAGGCCAAACTGGGATTTATGGATAACTTACCTTTAGGAAAATGTAAAGAAAAGTTGATTTTCTCTAGGGACTAGAAATCGCAACAGCAACAGCAACAACAACTGTTCAATTCTTCAAACTCCGACTCCGACTTTGACTCAAACACCGCACCAGGTAAGCGGCAAGAGAGAAAGAGAGAGAGCCAGAGGAGGGTCAGCATGAGCGAACCAAGCGACGAAACGAACTCAAAACTCGATTACGAAGTTTTGGCTTCGTGGAACGGTACATAATGCAATACATACAAACATCAAAATGTAACAAAAAGTTATGAAAAACAGCACAATAATTTTCAACAAGCTGCTGCTGACTCTGCCGCTGTCTTGGCTACTGCTTCTGAGCGGACTCTCTCGACTTGAGCTCTTTTTCGTACAACTGAACTTTAATTAATTTCGTTTTTGTTTCTAAAGTTGCTTTTGCTGTTGCTGTTTTCCTTTCGCTGCTTTCGTGAATGTTGCCTCTTCTCCTTTCTTGTTGTCATCATTTGTATACATTTATTACAATTTATTTTTGAAGTTACTATTTTTTTACAATATATATTTGATTTAATTCAACTATTTTGGGTGCGGCACAAAGTGGAAAATTTAGAAGAAAAAAATCATCTTTTGTTTGGGTTTTCAATTTAGCAGCCAATTGTTGGGAATCTTTGTATGTCTCTTTTTCGACCGCCAATTCTAAACAATTCGCAGACACATATGTAAACATAGATAGCCACACACAGAGAGATAACGGAAGAGCACAAATAGCCACAGGAAAAAAAAGGATGCAACAACAAAAAGCCAAGTAAATAGGAAACTTTTCTATGCCAACATCAAAATTGAACACGGCGGCGGCGACAGTCAGTCGGACTCTCTCGCTCGGTACCCGGCACTCTGCTGCTGGTTTGACTGGCCACTTACACACACACACACGAACGGCAAAGACACAACCGGGCGCAACGAAAAAAATTAACGAATAACACAAAAGCGAATAACACAAAACCAGTATAGGATTTATCGATAAGATATACCGTCCGGCCGTCAGAAATATACCAAAATATACCGTCTCATTTTAAAAATATATCGTACTGGCGTTCAAGTTCTATTATACATATTCCTTATTTTTGATATTCCGTTGAATATTATTAGCTTTATGGAACCCTCAGCTCTCAATTCATTATTTTATCCGATTACTAAATCAATTTTCTACAAGACTGGTTAAATTAAATTTTCTGTCTTATTTCATTGCGTATAAAATAAGACTTAAACAAAAACGGTCAACAACAATTTCCACTAGATTAATTTATTTACATAGTAACTACACTAGTTAACTATACGTACTAAAGTACCTGTTGATGTAATTACCCAAAGCGACACCTGAAGGGAAAATGAGAGTTTAAAAAATGTTTGGTTGTTTTTTCCTATAAACCCCATTGAACCGCCAGTGTGAAAAACCTATTTCATCCCCTTTTTTGACATGCACTTTTTTCCGACATTTTTGAAAAAATTGAAATTTTGATGGCGAACGTTCAGAAATTTCTACATTGGTGCATTAAACAAGAGGGTGAGTGCAAAATGCGTTTTAAAATATTCTGGAAAATACCATGAAAAGTATAAAATTTGCAAAGTGTGTGAGCTAGACGTGGTGACAAGAACGTCAGCTGAATCGTCTGACGTCCAGAAATATACCAACATTTATACCGATGACAAAAACGAACTTAGGCCCCGACTATATAAACGGTTCAACGACTTGAGATAAATATCGTAAAATATTAGTGATTGTACATTCTTCTTGTAGATCTATGCCTTATCTTCTCTAAACTTATAAAAACCACAAAATCGTTCATCTGAACTGAGCTAAAATGATTCAATTTTCATTATTTTCGATGGAATATTAAAATACCCCCTGGTCTACAATGCGTTAATCGTATCCGTCAAGCACTGGAACCATATTCCTCGATTTTGATATTCGATTTGATATTAATAGCTAGCTAGGACTTCTATACCTGAATATATAAATTTATCCGATTGATACATCTATCTGTGTTCTCTTCAGCAAAAAACGCCTGCTGCTAAATTATCCATCGATTAAAATACATTCTTATCGTTTCCATTCGAATATCATCCTCATCACTAGTCTTAAAGCGTTTCACAGCACTGGGAATAAATGGCGCATTTTTCTTAAAAGGTCACGTCGAAATGCCGCCGAAGCGACGTAAGAAAGTGATTGTAAGTCGGGTAAAGTGTGTATTTTAGATCACTCAACATCCAACATTTGCCTGTTTTCCACACAGGAGGCCACATTTGTGCCTGATCCTGGGGCAGCAGCCCTGGATCCCTCGCAGCCAGTCCTCTACATCGAACACTGCCGCTCCTGACGCGTTTTCCGTCGTCGGGCCGAAGAGCTACACGCGGCTCTGCAAGAGCGCGGTCTCCAGCAGCTGCAGCTTCAGCTGAATGTCGAAGGGACGCCTCGTCGTGGAGCGTTCGAGCTGCACTTGGCCAAGCAGCCGACAACGGAGGCGAGTGAGCAGCATTTTCTTTGGTCTGGCCTAAAACGTACTCCACGTGCCCAAAAGTTTCCCCCTGTCGACGATGTATTTCGGTGGATTGTCGAGATGCTTGGACAGGTAATGGAAAAACAACAGCCGGGGCAGGCAGGCGATCAGATACCCAAGGAGGAGGAGCCCGAACCCGAATTGAAGCAGGAAGCCGTGCCCGCAAAGAAATCTCAAAAGCGCAAACGCTCTGCCAAGACCACAAAGTCAGAACCAGAGCCGGTAAATGTCCCCAACGAAGAGCAGGTCGTATCCACCAACAATGCTAAGCGAAGGAAGTGAATCTATATTGCTTTGCATAAGAAAAGCCTTCGCGGCTTTCTGGATAAATATTTCTGGCAATAGAGCCCCATGAACGATGATCAGCAAATCCCGTGCGGAACCGATTATTGTGAAGCCCATTCGCATTGCCTTTGCCAGAATTACCAGCTACCAGTTACCCGTAAACACACACAAATGCAAAAACTTGTAAAAATCTGCACACAATTGTTATTCAAAAATATATTAAAACATCTTAGAAACCTAATTCTTTTGCCATTTTTGTAAATCTTTTTCGATTCGATTTTTATGCCTCACTTTTATTAGAATTGTTTTGTTCTTATAATATGCCTTTGATTATCAAAATTTGCACAATTTGATTTCGTTTCGTCGATTTTTCTGCATTTTATTTTCACTTTCGTTTTAATTGGTTTTCATTTCTTCTTTTTAGCTCTTAAGTGCTATAATCCTAGAGAAAAATTTTGGTTTACGAAATCGAGTTGTCGTTAAACTATACCCTACCCTACCACTTGCCTAAAATACATTACATATCATATCAATTTTCATTTTGTCTCCCTTTCAACTAAGGTTTCGATTTCGATTAAAAGTTGAGCCCCCGAAAAGAAGGACTCAGAAGGCTCAAAAAGGACAGAAACCGAGATTGCGACTGAGTGGAGGATAGCATGTAGTCCGCGGGAGAGAGACTAGTAGTACATAGAGGGTGTGGTACATTCCGTATATATATACATATATATATATATATATATATATGTATATATGTTTGAGATGCATAATGTAAAGTGAGACAGGACAGACATATTTAGTATATATGGCATATATGTATATGTATGTAGGAAAACAAACAGTCAATTGGCTATGGGGAAGTAAAGTCATAAGAGACGACGACACATTGGAATTGTATTTGCTACGGCCTGTCTCTGTCTCTGGTCCTGGTCCATTTGCATTTGATTTGAGTTTGGGTTTGGGTACGTGTTTCTTGTTAAGAGAAACTCATCTCATCCGATCCCATAAGGAACTAATAAGCTACAGGCTTAAACTAGATTTAAATTAGGTGCGAAAAAAATATGTAGATTATGCGAAATATCGATATAGAAAACAATGCAGAAAACAGATACATCAACGTGTTACAAATACAAAAATAGTTTGGTTGAAGAGCTGGGAGGAAGAATGCGGATTGGGGGTAGGAGTGAGGATGGGGAACTAAGCATGGGAGAACTCTTATTGATCATCATTCGTTCATTTGTTACAGATATTTGCGATAGTTGCGCAAATGCGCATTCCCGTCCTCGACGACGCCGCCGACGCCCACTGCCGCAGCGGCACTCTCAAAGGAAGGCGGCTCAATGATCATGCCCGGGATGTGCGGATCACATGAACTGTGGGGCAGGCCAGAGCCCGAGCCGCCCATGGAGGATCCACCGACTCCTTTGGTCCGTCGCCGGCCGCGTGTGCCCATTCCCCGAGAGCGTCGGCCACCGGCGCCACCGCCAGCGCCACTGCCCCCACTTCCACCGCCGTTATTTCCGATGCCGCTGCTGGAAGTGGGCGTGCCTCCGCCGCTGCCACCGCAACCGCCGCCATTGCTTCCAGGGACACTGTCGCCTAACTCAATGGCCTCCAGGGAAGCATCCAGGGCGGCATCTGTGGTGGTAATGCGGGTACGCATCACGGCACTGCGTCGTCGGGCGCTAGAGCCGCCGCTGGAGCCACCGCCGCCGCCACCCCCACCGTCACCGATAGCCGCATTGGATGTACCCCGCTTGCCGGGACGACGCTTGCGCCTCTTCTTGTTGCCATAGCGCGGATCGTAGTCGTACTCGTCGTCTGCCGGCGACTTTGGCTCTTCCAGCGAGTCGACATCGTTCATGTCCATGTCATCGTAGAACCATTCCTTGGGCAGATCATCCTTGCACTGTGTTAACTGCTGCTGATGGTGCTGCTGTTGGTGGTGGTGCTGCTGCTGGCTATCCTTGCTATCGGAGGTGTCGCCACCGGCCGCACCCAGGGAGCTGGACTCCTCCAGGCTGAAGGCTCCATTGAAGTCGTGCGTGGTATCGCTGTGCAGTGCAGCCAGGACTGAGGGCGTCGTTGTACCCGCCCCTGTCAGCATATTGAGACTGAGGGAGGAGGAGCTGCTGCCGCCGCCTAGGCTGCTCAGGCCGATGCCGAGATTAACGCCGCTGGCTACTAGCGCTTCGTGCTCCTTGCGCAGCGCCTGGAAGGGTCGCTCGGGAAACCGACTAAAAGGAGGGAGCAGTAGGGGAAGTATGAGCAACCAACCTAATGGTGCAGCTGGCAGAGGTGAAGAAGCGGTTAGGACTCACCTGTACATCTTGGTCAAGTATTGGCGGCGACTCTTTCGCCACCTGGCCGCCGGATACGTGTAGATTTGTCCCTGCCGAAAGCCTGGCATCCGCTGCCGCTTGTCCATGAACAATTGTGAGTGGTTCTGGGCTACGCCCGTTTGCGGATCAAGGAAGGGCAGCCGCAGTCGCCGTTCGATGCACAGGCGTGTGTTGAAATTGGCACTGTACTCGATCGTCTCCCGGTAGCTGACATCCTTTAGGAAGTTCTCGATTTTCGCCAGATTAGGCATCGACACGATCTGTATGTTGACGGCCGAGGACATGGTAGTGCACTGGATCCTGATCTGGCGCTGGCTCCGGATCTGCGCGGTGATTAATCGGTGCTTAATCTTTTGCCAAGTTCAACTTGCGTCTAGGCCCTTAGACTAAACCATTCTCCCAGTAGCTGCTGCTGCTGCTTCTGCTGACGACAACTTGGATTCTTTGTATTTTGTTTCTTATCTCGTTCGCCTTTTTTTCTCTTGTTTTTTGTGTGTTTTCACAACGCTTTCACTAAGTGTTTCCGCACAGCGTTATCTAGGGGATTTTGGGTGCCATTTTACGTGTTTATGTGAGGGGCAGAAAGGAGGAGTTCCACATGACTTTCTTATTGTTTTATTAAAAAAGGTTAACGTTAATTTTCTGCGTTTACTTTGACTTTTTGCCGATTTTCTAGCCAAAATAGTAGAGATGAGCGATATTTACCAAAACCTGTTACTTGTCACGGGTACTTTTAAGTAGCAGTTTTATCAACATTTCAAAAGTAGTCGTGACTCGTACCACGTAACATGGGTTATCGTTTTTCATCGCCAAAGACTGTCAGAAATAATTGAACTTAGCAAAGATATGTACATACATATGTGTATTTTGTTTTGTTGGCCCCTGAAACTCCCCAACAAGTCACGTCACCATTATAGTGGCATAGAATTTTTCGCACAAAATACCAACTATTCTGCTCAGTAACCACAGCCCGACAACGAACTTGGGTCTTAATGCATACATTTGCCGTTTGGCAGCACTGAAAATTTGAATGTATTTACAAGTAAATAAAAATGATTGAAAATGTGTTAGACCGAATTGTAGTTATTTTAGTTTCCTCTTGACTGTTTTGCCACTGCCCCGCATGGGCGGTTTCTGTTCCGGCGTTGCACGATATGTCCCGTGCAATTTGTCCAGCAAACCGATCACACCATAATTATAGTTGAATCTGTGTATATGGAAGATGTGAGAGATCTCAAAATCAAAGCCAACCGAAAACTTACTTGGCATGGTGATAGTCGTGGAAGCGGACGGACCCCCCCGACCAGGGGAAGCTGTATCCGGTATGATCGCTCATCGAGTTGATAATGGCCAAGGCAAAGATCATCCAGGCCAAGGCGACGTGGGTGCCCAGCAGCGCTATTGAGAGTGCCACCGGGAGAAGGTTGGCCAGTACATGCTCCACGGGGTGGGCATACAGCGTGATCGCCGCTATCGGGGCCGTCCACTCGTGATGCTTCTTGTGCACATACTTGTAGATCGCTTTGTGGTGCATCAGACGATGGACATAGTAGAACATGATCTCCTCTAGCACCACGAACACCACCAGATCTCGCACCGACCGCGTGAACGTGGGCAGCTCCCGTACATTCAGACTGTTATTGTTCTTGTAGATCAGTTCGAATACCACCCACGAGGCCAACAGATTGACGACCGTCAGGTTAAAAAGCACCACCTTGATGGCACGCCAAAGCTTGGTCAGATCAACGGGCTCGTTCTGACCCGGTTGGATCTTGTATTTGCGTATGAACCGCGGTCGATTCGTAATATCCATAATGGTAAACAGAGTCGCATACACCCAGTAGACGGAGAATATCGTCACAGTGCTGCCCAGCACCCACAGCCGCCAAGGATCCTCGCCTATCACGTCGAGCAGCGACAGCCAGCGGTCCTGCATAAACTCCCCAGCCTGAGTCCAGCACTCCAGTAGGGCCTCCATTGTGCTGTTGGTCTAGTCTTTAACTGAATCTCCGTCCAAGTAGTCGGGGAAGCAGTTCAGTTTTTGAAGAATCGCTCTAGCTGTGCGCTACATTTGGAGAGGTTCCTTCGCTCGCCGCTGCCTCTTGGCACGCCCATGCACCTGTGCACACATACTTATGTATCCACATCCATGTATGCAGGTTCGACTTCTAGGTTATTACAATTTGCCCCTGCTTTCTGACACCTGGGGGGAAGGGGAAGGTCATTCCGTCGATCTGCCTGACCCGATCAGCTAGTTCTTTAGCACTCTCTATCGTTATTCGAGCATGGGATGGGGGCCGGGGGCCTAGTGCGAGCTGATTGGCATACGTACAAATTTAGAAATCAGCAATGCTTATCGGGTTTTCGGTTTTGTTTCGCATTCGAAGGCAGATTATTGCCAAGCATTAATATTGTCATAAGATTAGGCTTCTTTTTTTATACCCGATACTCAAAATGAGTATTGGGGTATATTAGATTTGTGGTGAAAGTGGATGTGTGTAACGTCCAGAAGGAATCGTTTCCGACCCCATAAAGTATATATATTCTTGATCAGCATCAATAGCCGAGTCGATTGAGCCATGTCTGTCTGTCCGTCTGTCCGTCCGTCCGTCTGTCCGTCTGTCCGTCCCCTTCAGCGCCTAATGCTCAAAGACTATAAGAGCTAGAGCAACGATGTTTTGGATCCAGACTTCTGTAATATGTCGCTGCTACAAAAATATTTCAAAACTTTGCCCCGCCCACTTCCGCCCCCACAAAGGGCGAAAATCTGTGGCATCCACAATTTTAAAGATACGAGAAAACTAAAAACGCAGAATCGTAGAAGATGACTATATCTTACAGAGTGCAAAATCTGAACCAGATCGTATAATTATTATAGCCAGAATCACGATAACAATTTCATTCTTTCTCGCTCTGTCTCACTCTAACACACAGGTTTCATGGTCGGTTTTGCCAATTGCAAAATATGAGTTCAAGGATCTCAGAACCCATAAGAGCTAGAGCAACCAAATTTGGTATCCACACTCCTGTGATATCGGACCTTGACCGTTTCATGTCCAAATTTCGCCACACCCCCTTCCGCCCCCGCAAAGGACGAAAATCTGGGGCAACCACAAATCTCAGAGACTATTAAGGCTAGAGTAACCAAATTTGGTACACACACTCCTTTAAGATGTCACTATAAAACGTATATCTCAGAATTTCGCCCCACCCCCATCCGCCCCCACAAAGGACGAAAATCTGTTGCATCCACAATATTGCAGATTCGAGAAAACTAAAAACGCAGAATAATAGAGAATGACCATATCTATCCGGTTGCTGAATTTGGATCAGATCAGGTCATTTTTATAGCCAAAAGGAACAAACCAATTTGCACTGGCTACGCAGCGCCCGACGTCACGCTCAAACTCATTTTCTGTCTCTCTCGCACACACTCTTTGTCGTGTCGCTTAATATTAGCGCCATCTGCCGGAGGAGAGCCATACTGACTTAGTATCGGGTATAACTGTAGAGTTGCGGTGTCCGCAGCAACTCACAACGTTCCCCCTCGTTTTAATTTTATTTTCTGTTGGGCTCTGGAAATCTAACCGATTCAAAGTTCAATCCGACTTTATGTACTCTTTGGCAGCCTCTGATCGTGTCTTATCTGCTTTAGAGATTGCCGAAAGCGGCCAACTGACCACCTGGCCACCTGGCTATCCATCTATTCACTTATCCACCTATTGACTATCCACATAGAAATTCATACATATGTATGTACATGCATAAATGGCAGCTTGGCTATCTGTTCAAACCTGTATTGTACAGGTTTTGTCCTTGATATAGTCGCTGGTGGTCCGATTCTTATCAAATTCAATTTGATAAAATGAGAGCTTCGAATGGGGTCGGATCTGACGAAGCGCAGAGCTAGAACCTTGTAAGAGGATAAGTCCAGCAGTAAATATATCCCTTTATATATAACTACTCGCACAATTGCATCTTCCAGATTAAACAATATTTACTTTCTATAAGACTTGAGCCCGAATCAGGTATGACTTTTTAAAATATCATTTGTCCCGATATTAACAGACTTTGTTTTTTTTTGGAATTCCTTTGTTTATTGTATTATTTTTCATTTTTGTATAGTTTCCTTAAAATGGTTTGTTTTCGTTTGCTTTACAACAATTCACTTGCTTTTGGAGAATTATGCATTAATTATGTATATATGTATATATGTGTATGTACGTATGTACATACATACATACAATGAAACTGGATTTATGAGTAATAAGCTAGTCAAACGATTGATAAAAGAGACCCGAACGAAACCGCCGAAGGAAACTGAAGTGCCAAATGACAATGGACTGTAAAATTCCCCTTAATCTACTTCTATGTAGTGTTATGCATATTGTAATGTATATAGTATCTAATGCTTAAGCAGATTTTTAAATATTGCCTTGTCCATTGGATTGTTCTATGTCTGTAGATTCGTTTCTCTGCTTCTCAACAATCATATTATCTTCTGTATTTTATTTTTGATTTTTCATCATCCTACGATCCTAAGATCCTACGATCCTTCGCTTGCTTGTAGTTTATTTAACTGAAAAGGCACTGCTGCACTCAAACGATTCCCCTGCGCCCCAGATCTTGTTCGCTTAGTGTTTATTTATTTTTGGTTTTGTTATTATCTTTCTCTTTAATATCCAACCGAATGCCTACACAGTTTTACATAAATACATATGTACATACATATCTCAAAGCATTTAGAATATAATTATTTCTTCAAGCAGTCCCCTATTAGTACAATATGTGTCTCTCTTCGTTTTTCGGCTTGTTCTTTTTTCTTTTTGTTTGTGTTCGATTTGAACGAGCTCTTAAAATGTAATTACAAAACTTTTGTAGGCGATCAATTTTTGTTCTTTCTTTGGGATTGGTTCAATCCGAGAGCTAGAATGTACCTACTAGATCCGTTTAAATCTTTTGTGCAATTTTTCGCAGTTCAACATTTCAGCATTTTAAAATATATATAAATTAATAAAAAATTAGTTTTTGTTATTTCTTAGCTTTGAATAAATTGAGGATTTGTTGTAAAACGAAAGACACTTGAATTCGAAGACATTATTTGAACATATAAGTATATAAGTATTCGGTTTGTTGAAAAATATTTTTTTTTTATTGAAAAAATACCATTTTCTGAGAAACTTGCAGACGATCGTATGTTTCGTCATAAATTATCGATGTTTAAAGATCCTTACCTATGTGTAACGCACCTAATTTCGGGACTCATTACTGGAATCCATCCTTACTGGTTTCCCACCGCATTTTGAACGGTTTTCAGACTAAAAGCGTGTTTCAACCTCAAGCCGCCAGTGCCGGAAAATTCACTAAGCGCTTTCCCCACTCAGATACCGAATGAGATTCAACATCAGTATCTGAATCCGAACCCGAACCCGAATCGTATAAAAGCTTAATACTAGGGAGAACCGAATCTTGAGCTACAACAAAATCTACAAACTGACTCTGATCTTCTGCCCTTGCTTAATATTATTCAATCTGCCCATTCCGCCGACGCTGCCCATGTCGATGGTGGCGATGCGGCTGACGATGCGCCAGTCGTCGATGATCTTGGGCCTCAGCTTCTGTCTCCGTCTCCGTCTCAATGTCTAAGTCCTCGTTGTCATCGTCAATGGTATCCTCATCGTGCTCGTTGAGCAACAGCGGGCTATCGTCGCCCAGCCGATTGGGAGGCAAGGCGCTTCCCGGCGTAGTGGGTGCCGAGCGCGTGATCCAGCCCTTGCGGGCCACGCGCCCTCGGTTCACAAAGAAACTGGCACCACTGACCACGCTGCTGACGGGGCTCTTCAGCAAACAGCGCTGTGCTGTTCCAGTCGACATTCCCATTCCTGGTCCCATGGCGGCCATCGGTATATACAAGGCCTTATTGGGAGGTGGCGGCGCCTTGTTCGAGCCAAATAACTTTTTACTCTTTCCAGAGGCGGAAGCGTAGACTGCACTGGAGCCCGAGGCAGAGGTCGTCATCGCTGTGGGCTGCGGGGCCTGCGAAGATGAGGGTGTGGATAGCGTGTGCTGTAGCCGTGGCTTCGCTCCCGTTCCCGTCCCGCTCAACAGGAGATGTTCGTAGCTGACGCCCGCCTGCAATTGTCGAATCTGGTCGAGAATCTCGCGTACCTCCCCGGTTGGACTGGTGGCCTGTGGCGGTGAGACCGGTGTCCCGATGTTGGCCAGACTACTCACTCCCGACGCCGTGCTGGCAGTGCCAACTGGCCCCAGACCTGAGGTGGGGTCCCGGTCCCCCATTCCGACTGGCATGCTGGAGTGCTGGCAGCAATTCTCCAGGCTGTGAAGGGGATTAGGTTGGATGCAGCCATTGCTGAAGATCACCGGTGTGCCGCCACCGCCTCCGACTGCCAGGCTGCACAGGGAAGCAGCCTGTGTGGCGGCTACACTGTCAATGCTGGGGCCTCCTCCGTGGGCCATTCCTGCGCCAACTGCTCCACCTAGGCCTGCCACACAGCTGTTGTTCACGAAGATATCACTGAGGCTGCTGCTGCTGTTGGCCATATAGCGGAAGTGCTGGTCGCTCTGCGACTGTAGGTAGCCCACACCAGCCCCGGTACCACTGACCAGGCCACTGACTCCCTCCTCGTGTGAGCCATGCAGCCGCGTACTGTACATGGCCGCTCCACCACCGCCAGTGCCACTGCCCAGGGCCACCGTAGCATAATGTTGGGCCTGGGCTTGGGCCTGCGCTTGAGCATGTGCCCGGGACTGGGATTGAATAGCCCCTGTCTGACGTGGCAGGTACATATCCGACTCCACCAACTGGGATGCAGAGCGTGGCAGACCATACTGGTGGGCTGCGGTAAGCGGTGGCGGCCCCAGCGGCAGCTGTAGTGCTCCCGGATGATCCGCATTGCGGGTGCCATGACCATGGGCATGCGCCAGGTAGTGGTGGAGGCCCAGCTCCGGACTGGCTGCCCGGGAATATGGCGGCGGAACCATGGTGTTCGCCTCGTTTGCATTGCAGATGAAGCTGGAGCTGAGCGAGTCCACAGTGCTGGCGGCGCTCAACGAGCCAGCCGGACGCACAATGTAGTTCCGGAAGTACTGGACCATGAGGTAACTGGAGCTGCCGTTGCCGTTGCCCTTGCCGTTGTCGCTGTTGCAGGTGAATACCAGAGGATAGAGATCCGGCTTGGACGTGACCTGCAAGAAGTAATCCAATCGAGATGTATTGCACATCATACGGTTATTTTCAGACGAAGCTTGACTCACCTCTGTATATGGTGGAGGCGGGTGGTGGAACGAATTACAGCGACTGTACTGCGGAGGGGCATAGCAGGATCCGGCCGAGTCGCCCTCGGACTGGGTGTGATGCTCGTTGAAGCCCCAGCCACACAGAGTGCGGCGCTTCTTCCACAACGAGTACGCACAGAGTATGGCCAAGATGATGGCGACCACGACGCACCTGCAACGATATATCAGCAATCAGCAATACGGATTGGGCATGGTTCCGTCCCTGTTGAATGCTCCGCTAGGCTATCCTCTGCTCACTGCTCAGTCTGCAGCTGGCGCGACTGGATGAAGAAGCCCATGGCCGTGCCCGTGTCCGTGCCCGTGTCATGCAACGGCTATTATCGAATTCCAACTAAATTTTTAAGGGCCTCTGGCTGTCTTTTTGGCGACTCGAGATTGGATTATGTGAGCAAAAGAGCTCGCTGTGGCCCAGCGGGGTCCGAATTAGGTTGCATCAGCACACAGAGAGCAGAGTGTTGTGTGTCTCATTAGTTGGCATTGCCATTTCCGTACCTCCTTCTCTCTGGGGAGGGGGAGTGGGCCTGCTGTCTTGCATAAGCCTCTCGACTTGACTTGACGCAAGCCGGCACTGGGCACCGTCGACGTTGCTGCCAATAATAATAATAACTCGCATGCCACACAATGCCAATCGGCCAGAACAAAACCCCCTCTCACCCCAACGCCCGCACCAAACAACAAAAAATTACACTCCACACAGCGAGGCCATGTGCACAGGCCTCATGGGAGCAGGAGCAGGAGCAGGAGCAGCAGCAGCAGGAGCAGCAACAGAGCAAGCTGCAGGTAACGGGCGTCGCAGGACTTACCAGAAGAACCAGTGGCTGATGAAGAAGAGATTAAGGACGTGCTCCGAGGGCGGGGGCAATGGTCGGGGTCCGCCCTGGTAGGCGGGACAACAGCCCTGGGTGCAGCAGTCGCGGGGCAGTGAACAGATGTGTCCGCCTTCGCACAAAAACCGAGCCGTCACCTGTAAATTATAGAAATTAGTTTTCTGTCGAGACAAGGTGAACGGATGGAGCTGTAAAATAGAAAAACGAACAAAGCAAAAGCAAAAGCAAACGCAAAAGCTAAAGCTAAAACAAAAGCAGAAAGGTATGAACGGTTATGAAAATATCATTGTCAATATCGCCGTTGAAATTCCATGAACAAAAAGACATCTCCTCTTGTATGTACATACATATGTACATGTAGTGCATGTAGTACATAGTGTTCTCAGCTGCAGGTTGACCTGCAGTGTAGTTGGGGCCTAAGTGTTTGTCCTTCTAGGAAGTAAAGCATTCAAACATGATGTACATATGTACATACATACATATGTATTTACACCTGAACATACATACATTTACAGCATGCATAAATGATAATCAGAATAATACATATATGTACATACATACATACATATGTATAGAATGTATGTACAATGCACATATTTTGTGATCATATTGTATTAAGTAGTATTAGAATACAAATGAAGTCCGTGCAACATTACGGCAGTTAACAACTTACATGCAGGGGGAGCAGGCCCACCGCCAAGAGGACCAACTTCAGCACCAACAACGGGCATGAGGATGCATATGAGGAGGAGGAGGAGAGCAGCGAAGCGTAAAGCCACATGGTACTCCCAGCTCTTTCGCTGCCCGGACTGGCGCCAAATGTCCGCTCAATGCGAAGGGGAGGAGAAGGGAGGATGATGGAGATAGGTGGTAGGTGGTGGTTGGTGGTTGGTGGCAGCCTCCGTTCTCCGTTCAGCCTCGTGTGTGATTTGTTCCTTTGTTTTGCTTTCGTTTCTGCTTTCTCTCTGGTGCTGCTGCTGCTGCTGCTTCTCTGCTGCTGATATTTGTGTCACATTATGTTCTTGTTGTTTTTGTTTTATTTTGTCGCTGCTGATGCCTTGCTCAATGCACACACACACACACACACGCGCGCAACCGTACACACACTATCTCGCACAGACACATGTACACGCGCGGTGCTACATAGCAGGGCGATTTGTTTTGTCCTTGACAGACAACAATGCAATTTACCGTTGCATGCTTTTGTGCTCTGCGTTTTGTTTTACTTTACTATTTTTCTGGTTTTTTCTGGTCTGGTATTCTGTGAATGATACAAATGTATCTACTTATGTCCATACATACATATGTACATACATACATACAAATATATATACTGTTTATTGGCTATTATATACATATGCACACAACCTTAGGCATACCCAAACGCAAATACATTCTATGTACATCTGTATGTACATATGTATGTAGCTTAACGACGCCAAGAAAATTTTCTCTTCGTGTGACGCCACTTGTATTATTCATATACATATGTGTGCACATACACATATGTACATATGTTCCCAGTCTCTAGATTTAATTATTTCAATCTCGTCACTTTTTTTGGGAAATCATTGGCAAATTACGATGTTTGTCAGCACAAAAAAAAATTAATAGCTATATGTACTTCATTGCAATTGTTGGTTCCCTGGAAATCTCCCGCGCCTCATCCTCGAGGCATACACAATAACAGAAGCAGGAGCTGGGACAGAGACAGAGACAGCGAGCGAGAGCGAGATTTAGAGCAGGAGCATCAGTGGAATTTACAGTTTTCCGGACCGAACGAACATCCAACGTGGGAGCGAGAATCCTAAAACTGAACAAACGGACAGCAAACGGTAGCACTAACACTGTAATAGGATTCCAACAGAGCCAGCTCCTTTCGTCAGGCAATACAATTGTCGCCCAGCGTGGCAACCCTCTGGCAACAGCTGTTTAACCACTTTTTCAAAGGAGCGTAAAATTAAATCATACAACAAATTTGTATAAATTTATTATTTGTTGATTCTGTTCAATATGTGTGAAGACTTACATATGTATGTACAGAATGAATAGAAGATCAGAGGCTTATGTGAAAGACAATTATTTTAGAAACAAGGAATTTAAGTTTTAAGCCACTGGAAAATAGAACCAGGACCAACATGGAAATACGTTCTTTTATATGAAGCAAGAGTTCGTTTGTTTATAAGAAATGAGTCTAATAAGAAACGCCCTGTATCTGTGAGTTCATCGTCGCTATCGTCGTACAAAACAGGACCTCGAGATGGAGATACCTCCCCAAGCAAAAACTTTGCAGAATATCTTTTTTCAGTATCCTACCTGGATAACCCATTCACCATCTGTCTGTCCATTGCTCTTGATAAGCACCAAGATAGGATAGACTATAAAAGCTAGAGAAACTAAATTCTATATGCAGACTGTAATTTCACACTGTTGCAAGTTTCTTTCAAAATTTAGACTAACAAATATCTGTGCCATCCAAATTTGTAATATCTCTATCTATATGACTATATCTACCAGATTGCAGAATCTGGATCAGATCAGATCAGATCATTATTATAGCCAGAACGAAGAAAAACATTTGCCTCTCATTTTCTCTCCCAAAGAATTACATATGTAACATACATACATATATGTTAAGACCTTAAAAGAAAATTCTAGACATTTGTGAGCTGAGTTGTAAACATCGGAGCTGCGGGTGGTAATGTTAAATGTAAATGTAACGAAATAAAATCCAAAAATGGTACAACATTTCCGTTAAATGTAAAAATAAACTTAACTTGAAAGTCGAAAAAAATATTTTTTTATGCATTTTTTGTTTTAATTAATGTTGAATTAGCAATCTTTAGTAATTACTATCGTTTTATTGTTTATTATAACTGAATTAAGACGGGATGGCATGGAATCACCTAGTGGTTTAACAATGGATGAATTGATATTTGCCCATTATCGCTGTACTTTTACTTAGCTGGCTTTCCCAAACTGTCTTCCCTTCTTAAAAATTTTATCAGAGAGGATACCACAGAAGTTCTGGTTCGGACTTAATATTTAAAATAGGCTTTTTTCTGCCTGTATAGAAAACATAGAATGCACCGAAAACCAACGCATAATCCTTTTGAACAGTCAAGTCATCGCCAAACAACTGGCCCGCAAACTCAGTTACATATGATACATTTCTTCATTCATTCTCGTTTAGAAGAAGCATAAAGGGGTCTTTCATCTGTAGTTGAACGCAGCCTATATCACCAAAGTTCCACCGCCAAAACCTCACTTAAAAAAGGATGGTCAGTAGGTGAAATGGGGATAACGGAGTGTCAGAATTAACATAAGAACATTACTATCGGTCCCGCTCGCTCGCCCCCTCCCCCACCATCACGCATTAACCAACACCAACTCCCTGTTGCGAAACGAAAAAGACAGAGAGAGAGCATGTGGCATTAATCGGCTCCAAAACCAAGTCTCTATGTATGCATGTATACTGTATCAGTAACATAGCCCTGTGGAATCAAAGCGGTCAATTGACCATCTCGAACTAGTTCCGTGCAACTAATTACGCGGGAAGCGAACCTCTACCATGTCTTCGTCGACTATAATGTAATAGTTCTGCTACTAGTTACGCGGGAAGCGAACGACGACCAGTCTGAACAGATACGAAATATGGAGCCGCATCGACTTGTTTTCGAAGTCGCCAAATAACCATAAGCCCGTGGAATTATGAAGAAACAGAGAAAAAGAGTTACATTACAGAGCGGACTTAGCAGGTTTTTACCGATGCCATGCCATGTAATATTCAACAAAATGGTAAGTGAAACGAGATATTCTATTGTACGTGTGCTAATGGAAAAAAGTACAAAAGCAAAATTAATTTTTATTTATTTATTATAACTAGTTCCAGATGGACTACCAGTAGTTATTTGGGAATTAGCTACTGGCGTTAGCATCTAGCTACCGGTAAACGAACGGGAGCCAGGGATGGTTTCGCCCTAGGACATGCATTTGCTAAATTCTCCGATGAAATACATTCTCGGTAGTCGATCTGTCACCAGCGAGGTGAGAATGGCTAGGTGGCTAGTGCGGCACCGGTTCCGAGCTAGATGCCGGCTACTGCAGATTACGGACTAAGTAACGGGTATGAGTGCTATCCCTTTTCGACTCATGATAGAAAGTTTGATTTTTTGCTGTAGTCGGAATGCCGAGTTACGCCTTTTTTTCGCCTAGTGCTTACCAAGAACCTAACTAATGCCCGTCTCAAACAAGTCCAAGTATAATCAAGTTTATGAAGCATATTTAAAAAATTTAAATATGAAAAAGATACATTTAATCTAAAGTCTAAAGAGAAACGTCTAATTAACTTTGAAGAAGGATGCAATGCTCTTGGTACCTTTCGCTCCTTTCGCCAGAGCCTTCTCTTTGGCCGTCATGCTACGCTCCTTAAGCGGTTCCATAGTGGGTGGGGACGTTATACAATCCTTACCGTTTTTGCTGTCCAGCAAACCACTGAGCTTCAGCTTGGATGCGGCATCGCTGTCATGGCTATTCAGTTTAATTTTTTTGCTGTTGCTGCCCTCCAGTCCCACCTGTGACTTTCGCTTCTGAGCTGCGGTTTTCTCCTCAACTATAGCCTGAATCTCGCTAGGTATATGTAGATAGCCGATCAGTTGATCGTGCAGGTCGGAATCCAGGTAGCGGCCAACAATGTCACAGGCCATACGTCCATAGTCCATCTCGTTGACAACATTGTCTGACAGCTTTTCGCTTCGAACAAAGTTCTGTGATTGAGCACTGTGGCCGCAGTGGATCTGCTTTTGTTTCAGAATCTCTGCCACATGTCGTGTCTTGAGGGCCAGCCAGGCGAGCGTCCGCTCCTGATTGTATTTGTAGAAGGTCAAGTCTCCAGACGTCTTAGCATCGGCCACACACTTAAGACCGTTGGAGTCAATGAACTGCGTTAGGAAGCGACTCGTGCTGGCTTCGTGTACAGCAATATTATCCAGCGACATTGCTCCTGGTTGGGTTTAGATGAAAAGTAAAAATAATTGCGATGGAAGGCGATCTGCCAAATCTAGACATACTTACTCTGCGCACAGTGTTTCCTCAAGTGGTGTATCGCCAGCAGTGTTGTATCCATGGGTATGGTCATATAGACTCTGCCATTGGCGCATATCTCGCTGTTGATTAGCCAGCTGCGTCGCGGCTCCGCATATTCCAGCAGCTCCATAATTTGGCCATCTGGGTTTGTTAGAAACAATGCATCTTTTCCCTTGCCAGGATGGTAGAAGCGATCCAAGCGAAGCAGCTGATTATCATCCGGTAGTATCTTTTCGGATATGTAGAGCACTTTCTTTAATCCAGCCACGGTCGACTTTTGCGCAGCCGTATCTATATTTGCGTCTGGATCTGGCTTTGGTTTTGCTGATCGCGTTGTCTTTTTACTCATTTTCAAATAACTAATTGGTTCGTAGGACTGCAGTTAAAGTGGTTTTGAGTTGACGCGTTTCGCTAAAGAGATTATACAAATTGCCAAGCAATGAATGCAAATAAAGTAAACTAAAAACAATCTCCCGCGTTTGTTAGAGATGCAGAACTATCGACTGCCATATTCGATAGGTGTACATTTTTTTAATATCTGTAATAACCAGGGACTGTGAAAAACGATTTTTTTTAATATTATAACCTAGAAAAAATGATTCTTTATTTTTGAAAAACCTCTGCATTGCCGCCATGATTTTTAATTTCTGATTTTTTACGGTTTTCTTCAATAACAAAAGACAACAAAATTTAACTTTTTTCCGCTGTAAACCAAACGACTTTTTCTGTTACATGTTAACTGATTTTTTTGTTGTTCAGATTGTGCTTCTTTTTTCACATAGCTTAAGTATCTTAAGACTGGTTATAGTGAACTGTGCAACTCTGAAAAGCTGATAAGTGCATCTGTAAATCAAACCAAAGCTTTTGTCCCATATGCTTACCGTCTGGGAAACATTAATCTTTAAAATTAAAAATTAATAATTTTTGCGTTCTATTTACATATATTGACTTTTAAAACTCGAGAAAAAATACCACACTTTTGTATTTTCAACAGTTTTGAACTTTAAAATGTTTTTTTGCGAAGGAACGTAACGGAATTTAACGGCAAAATGCGACATTTGAAGATTTGGTCAACCGGCTGCAGCTTAACCTTACGTATACAAAAAAAAATTAAAACACATGAAACATTTTTTTTACTTTTCACGACTTATCAAAGTAAAAATTTTTGGAAAATACCAAACCGTAAAAAATAGAATATCATTAAAAAATTGTAGAGCTCCAAATCTATTCGAAAAAGTCGGTTTGGTTTACAAGGTAAATGTGGTGTTTCATAGTTTAATCTGTAATGTAAGGCTGACTCTCTTTTTTTACAGCTACTCCCGCTTCAAGTCTAGTTTCTTACAGCTAAAAGTAACGGTAAAGCCTAAAAGCAGCAAAATTTTCCATCGATTTTGCTCGAAACAGAGTTTAAGGCCAAATGACAAAAATACACCAGAAACAATGCAAAATGGAGAGAACAGAAACTGGTGGTGACGATTTCAATATATATGTTGTTTCTTTGTACTTTATTATTTTGGAGCCATTGAAGAAACAAATACACGCAGGTTGAAGTGGAGTACGGAGATGGAAACTCTTTTTATGAGTATTTGGTATGTTAACATTGTGGATTTTCGGAGAGCCTGCAAGAATTCCGTTAATGTCGACCAGGACAGATCCAACCGAAGCTCTAGTATTCTTTCTGCAACCAAGACGCTGCACCAAAACAGATTAAACTGGAAAATCTTCTGGAAATTGTTCGGGAAAAGCTTGAAGTCAAAAAGGAGTAGCTGAAATTACAGGATGAGCACCAGGAAACAACTCGAGAGATATCCCAGCAAATTGCAAGCAATCAAGGCCAACCCAACTTCCACACGGAGTTGCTGCAATGTTAACGTTCCAGCGTGTAAAACGTCCAAAGAGTAACGTTTATTATTATTATTACTATCGAAAGAAATCTACATAAATCCTTTTTAAAAATAAATTAATCGTTTTCGAGTATTCCATTCCGTTTCGCAGATTTTTTCGTTTTATTAGATTAAGCCAAAGTCGACTTCTATTTCGCGTACGCTCGCGACCCATTTTTATTTCTATCATTATGAAAACTAAAATTCGATGAACCTCATCTTTTGTACTAAACATAGGTTAACAAAGTTGTATCGAACCACAAAAAAAAGGGCGCAAAATTTTTATTTTCTTTCTTTTTCTTTCTTTTTTGTATATCAAAAGGGTACGCTCGTCCGCGACCGTCGGTTTTGTTATTAATAATATTATTTATTAATAAAAACTGTTTCTAACGGTATATTTTTAAAATGAGACGGTATATTTTGGTTTATTTCTGAGGGTCGGACGGTATATTTTAACGATAAATACGCGGTCACACTGTTACCAATACGCACAGCTGTGCGGTTGATGGTGAAATAAATATTTTGCTTCTATTCTGACACAATGGATATAGCCACAACCGTAAAGTTTCGTGATGTCTGCGAGCTGTTCGAAAAGGTCAAGGCGGCAAAGAAAGTTCAAGACAAAGAGGATGTGCTGAGAAGCTACTATGAGTCGTTCTGCCGACATCGGGAGGCATTTCGCCAGGCGGCTGGCTTAACGGACGAGCAGAGTGAGAATGGCTCCAGCAGCTTCCACTCGGTCCTGCGTCTCCTGTTGCCCAGTGCAGACACTAGAAGGGACAACTATGGCCTGCAAATAACAGCTCTGGGCCGTCTCTACACCAGAGTGCTCCAGCTAACCAGGGATTGTGGGTGGTCACGTCAGAAAATCAGTTTTAGAATATTATTGCTAACTTTTACCAACTGCAGCTCGCGATGCCATAATGCTGCAGCATCGTACTGGCTCCTCGTTTCGGGACTACGGAGATGTGGTCTATGCCGTACTTGTGTCCCGTTGCTTTAATCCGCCAAGCGATCTGCGTCTCAACGCCATCCACGAAATGCTAGATACAATTGCCAATGAAGATACATCAGGTGGGTGTGGGAAAATGGCCGGGTGCCCTTGTTTGCCTATATGCGGGCGCTAAAATGCATTATTCGTGTTCCGCACAGTTAAGGAACAGGAACTGATACGTTTCACAGAACAAGCCTCGGCCAGGGAGCAGAAGTGGCTAATCCGAATTCTCCTAAAGTCCCTGGGATTGGGCATAGGGGAGCAGCGCATTTTCGGAGTTCTGCATCCGAATGCTAAGGACATTTACCAGCGCTGCTCAGATCTAAGTCACGTCTGTAATTTAGTTGCCGATAAGGTATCTGACCTGGAAGTCAGCGACACGAAGATCACAGGCAACAGCCACCCATCAACTGTTAATCTGAACGCAGTCATAAGGCCCTTCCATCAGATCCGTCCCATGCTTTGCGAGCGTTTTCCCGGCGACATTCAGGAGCTTATGCAATCCGACGTTCTCTATCTGGAGACCAAAATGGATGGCGAGCGTTTCCAGCTGCATATTGATCGCGGTCGATTCATGTACCTTTCCCGAAACGGAGTGGACTATTCTAACAATTTTGGCGAAAGCTATAGCCGGGGAACGTTGACGCCACAATTGCGTGGTCTGTTGCCGCTCGGCCTACAGACGATCATCCTCGATGGCGAGATGATGGTTTGGGACACCAACCAAAAGAGGTATCGCGAAAAGGGCGAGAACACGGATGTAAAAAATCTAAAGCCCGATCGAAGCTGGCGGCCTTGTTTTGTGGTCTACGATCTACTGTACTTCAATGGCCAGAGTCTGCTCGATTTGACATACATCCAGCGATCCTACAAGCTCCAAAAGTTGATCGGCGAACAGCAAGGAGTGCTGCAGCTGATGCGCGGTACCAAGATTGGCTCAATCGAGGAATTCAACAAACTCTTCCAGCAAGCCCTTGACTCCAATGCCGAAGGCATTGTTCTAAAAAAGCAGAGCTCCATCTACCAGCCGGGAGTTCGAGTCGGCGGGGGATGGTACAAGGATAAGGCAGATGTGAGTCCACCACATGCCATATTTCCTCCTTCCTCCTTTCGTATGCAGAGTATATTATATCTTGTTTTGTTTAAAATCAACAGTACATCAAGGGTCTCATAACCGAATTCGATGTTCTCATCATTGGAGGCTTTTATAATCGCAAGCGCACATTTATCGATTCGTTTCTACTAGGCGTTCTCCAGCCAATGGCTAATAGCGACAGTCGTCATGAGGTTTACAGCATTGGTTGCGTTACCAATAATACGAGACAAGCAGTGGTGCTGAATCATACGCTGAGGCCACACTGGCACGATACCACCAAGGAGCCGCCGCCACTATGGTACCATTACATGGCTAACGAAAAGATTGGCTCCCCGGATCTGTGGATCGATCCACACAATTCGATTATCTTGCAGGTTAAGGCGGCGGATTTGACACCCAATAGTGCCTTCTATACGCCCAAAGCTTTGCACTTTCCACGCATCGAACTGAAGCGCGACGATAAGGCCTGGAATGAATGCATGACGCTACAGGAGTTTAACCAGCTGTGTGAGGTAAAGGGCCAAGTACATAAGTATGGTTATCATATCTAGTCACTTTATCTAATTTTTCTTTCCAGGGCTCTGGTCCGATCAAGAAACTGAACAAGCGTCACCTGTGTTTGGATGATTTGACCACGAAACGAAAACGTCTACGCATGACGCCCGCAGAGCGCAGGCGTCTAGGTCTGGCCATATACGAGAAGCGCTACGATGTCGGGACGAGTTCTAGCTGCACAAAACTTTTCGAAGGCCTTAGTTTCTGCATCTTGAGTGGTGCGCCAGGCCAGAGCAAGCACAAACTGCAAGAATTGGCAGCCAAGAATGGTGGCTGCATTGTGGAGAATCCGCTGCCCAACGACCCGAAATGCTTCTGTATAGCAGGAGATCAGACGTTCCTGGTAAAGCGACTAATGCAGCAGCAACCATGCACCAGCGATATTGTGCGCATGGAGTGGCTGATACGCGTCTGTCAGCAGCAAGAGCTTGAGCTACGTCCAAAAGATTTGCTTTCGGCCACCGAGCCACTACAGGATGATTTGGCCGAATGGTTTGACAAATTAGGAGACAGCTATACAAAGGACTTTGCGAGCGTTGATGAACTGCTCGAATTACTACAGGACATCGGTAAGGAGGAGCTTGCCGTCGACCATGTGTCACAGTCCGAAATCAATGCCTTCGAAGACAAGTTGCTGGGCCAGGCCACACGAAACATATTCCGTGACTTGCATGCCTACTTCTATGATCCAAATGGCGACGAACTGAGCAAAGTTTTGTTCCTGCAGAATGGCGGCACGCTGGCAAGCGAATCCGACCCCCAACTAAACCTTGTATTTGTATGCCTGTCTTCGGATATAGACGATAATTACTTTGAGTCGTGGCTACATAACCATTTAAGTTCGTATTCTGGCGAAGTCCTTAACTCTGCATGGATCCATCAATCGCACCG